TGATTTGGGGTTTTAACAGCTGCATGGTGTACAGAGGGTGAGGCCTTGGACCCAAACAAGGCATGAACTGGAAGTTAGAGCTAGAAAAAACAGTGAAGTGCAGGACAGCAGTCTTTGGTCCCTTATTCCCTCCACCCGCCTCAAGTATGACTTCCCCTTCTCTTCTACAAGACCTTCCGAGACACTCCACTCCAGAGTTATTTACTCTCTTAGGTTCCTAAACTTGGTGTTGCTTTACATGACCACCAATTATTTTCTATTAAAATTAATAATGAGTAAATATTCCTCACAATTTTATATTAAAATTAAAGTTAATTTGTCTATAAATTCACAATAAATTAAGTTATTATAAACAATAAATTATTAACTGATTAGGCTATGATTGTAGCCCCCATCACCAACAACCATCCATTCTTGCCCAGGAAATTGAAGCATTATAAGTAGAAATGGAGGGAATGAGATGAATGAAGCAGAAGGAATTAAACAGAGGGGCTAAAGGATTAATAGAGAAAAAAAAATATGTGTGTTCTTCTCCATCAGGCATTATTTTCTAGACTCCTAACCGCTAGTTTTTTGTCTCTGTTGAATGGCAGACACACCATTTACCCAGCTGTACAACTCAGAAAGTTAGAAAGTGTCCTTTCCTTTTTCCCCAGTATCTAACCTATATCCAAGTGCTGTCTACTTCACCTCCTAAATCTCTCTCAAATCTGTCCTTCTCTCCATATCCATTGCCATCACCTTGTACCTGGGTTTCTTAACTTAGGCACTACTGACATTTCTGGCTACATAATTCTTTGTTGCAGGGGTTACATTATAGGATACTTTGGCTATATTCCTGGCCTTTACCTACTAGATGCCAGTAGCAGCCCTCTCCCACCAGGTGAGAGAACCAAAAATGTCTCGGGTGTTACCAAATATTCCCTGGTGAGCAAAAGAGGCCCCTCGTTGAGAATCACTGCCTTATACCCTTATACCAAAGTATATTCATTTCTTGTCTAGTGTGCTACAACAGCTTCCTAATATGTCTCCCTGCATGCATCATATTACTATACCCCATCTAGTAACCTATTCTCCAAACTACAGCCAGAAGGGTATTTCCAACTCAGATCACGTCAGTCCCTGCTTAAGATAAGCTTCAATGGCTTAGCGTTTCTCTTAGAATAAAATCCAAAATCCTTATTATTGCTACAAGGTGTAGCTCTTACCTCTACAGATTCAACTTGTACTTTACTGCATCCTTCTCCCCCTCACTCTCCACTCTAGCCCCACTGGCTACCTCAAATGGGTCATTCTATCTCCAGCCACTCGGCTTTGCCTCAACCCTCTGCCAGCTCTTGTAGCAGTCTAAGAAGTTGCTTCTATTTTAAAAGATGGATGGATGGATAGATAGATAGATAGATAGATAGATAGATAGATAGATAGATAGATAGACAGATCGATCGATCGATCTGGGGCTGGGCGCGGTAGCTCACACTGTAATCCCAGCACTTTGGGAGGCCAAGGCAGGTGTATTACCTGAGGTCAGGAGTTCAAGACCA